CCACTTGATACCGACTGCCAACTAGACATCAAGCCATTGATCTAGCCGGCTTTCTATCCACTTTATAGTCCATTCATCCAATCCATACTTCTTTAACTTGCTGGCAAGAATACTGTGGGAGACTGTATCAAAAGTGTTGCTAAAGTCAAGGTACATCATGTCTACCACTTTCCCCATATCCAAAGAGCCAGTTATCTCATCATAGAAGGCAACCAGGTTGGTCAGGCATGACCTGTGCTTGGTGAATCCATGTTGATTGTTTCTGATCACCTTCCTCTCCTCCAAGTGCTTCAAAATGGATTCCTTGAGGACCTGCTCCATGATTTTTCAGGAACTGAGGTGAGGCAGATTGGTCTGTAGGCTGGCAGGCTCATATAAGAAGGGCTGTGGGGCAGAGCAGAGTTCAGTAGCTGCCTGGAGCTTGAGGGGAGAAGACCAGTCTCTTAGCAGCAGGAAGGAGTGCCAGCACCTGGGACAGAGCAGTGCTGCAAGCAGGGGCCAGGGGAGCTAGAGAGAGCTTCTGGCTGGCTGTTAGGACCTGCAGGCTGAGGTAAAGGCAGAAGAAGGTTCTGGAGCTGTATGGGAAGCAGCCCTGGGATAATGAACTGCAGTTGCCACCAAGAGAGTTGCTGGACAGAGATTGCAGGTCCCACAGAAGTGGGGAATACAGAGTGTGGCACAGCCGGAGAGCAGTGTCACTGAAGAGGATGCCGGAGTCCTGGGAGTGGTGAGAGTCCTGGAACAAAAACGATGGTGGTGGGGCACCACTAGAGGAGGGCGCCCTTGTGAGCAGACCTAATTCCCATGACAGCCGGCAGGAGGCGCCAGAGTAGTGATGAGTGAACCCCGTCACAGTCCCAGTTTGGGATAGGAAAATTTGTCAAAATCTCAAAAAAATTTGCAGGACAGTAAAAGCATATCCTGCCTCACTCTATCCAGCATCTGATATGGATTCTGTTTATACATCAGGCGCCAACTTCTTAGTGGTTCTGAGCATCTGTAACACACATTGGGAGGCAGTTCAGCCTAGTGGCTAGAGCACTGGACTCAGTAGACATGGATACTATTCCCGGCTCTGCCACTGGCCTGCTGGGTGACCTTGGGCAGCTCACTTCACCTTCAGGAGTCCCAGTTTCCCCATCTGTCAATGGGGATATTGATACTGACCTCCTTTGTAGAGCACTTTGAGATCTGATGCAAAGAACTAGGTAAGAGTTAGGTGTTAGTAGTAGTACTGACATCAAAGGAAATTGCTGCTGCTCAGCAGGCACTGGATCCTGGATGGTGCTGATTGGCCTTAATTTCCACTGGCTTCAATTAGAGTTGAGGGTGCTCAGCATCATGCAGGACTGAACCACCAGTGATCAGCTCATTTCATGATTTAGCTGCAGATGAGAAACACAGCTGTACAGGAGATTCAGGGGATATCTACACTGAAATTAGACACCTGTGACTGGTCCGTGCCAGCTGGCTCGGACTAAGGGGCTGTTTAATTGCGATGTAGACGTTTGGGCTCGGGCTGGAGCTCAGGCTCTAGGACTCTGCGAGGTGAGTATTTCAGGTATCAACCTCCTGTGGGAGTTAGATCACAAGGCACATGCAGGTTGAGTGGCTGGACTGTATTATGTCTTGCTAACACTGCAACTTGTTTCCCTTGCCCCCACCTCCACCTCGGAGTTCTCTCATGACTGTCCTGAAATGCCTTTATACTGAACTGAAAAAATGCCAGTTGGTGTTGCATAGGGTGTTGCTGTCATTATTCGGCTGTCTAATGGAGAGCACAGGAAGGATGTCTCCGTTGTGCTGTAGCATGCTAAACTGCCACACTGTCAGCTGAATTAATCTCTTAAAGTGTGGACTTACTCTGACAGTGACTGTAATAATGGCACCTTCTTACTCAACGGAACTGGTCCTTGTGAGTTCAGCATTTTACATGCTGACTTGAGAGACAACATTCATTGTTTCAGATAACTGTTCACATCAGCTCATTCCTTCTCATTTGCCCTCTCCTCTGTCCAGCCATGTAACTAATCACCCCATTTATTATCTTCTGCTCTGGTCTTTGCACCTCATTCAGTGCAGCTCCCCATGTCTGGGATTCTCTTCCTGGCCCCGTTCACTATGCCTCTAAACCCCAGAACAAATCTCAAGATTTGACTGTAAAAGGAACATGTAACCCTATAATAACCTACCAAAGTAACCTCTAGGTTTTATTGCTGCAACTCTTGTCCTTCTTCCTGCCTTCCAATGTCTGCTACAATAGAACCTCAGAGTTCTGAACACCTGAGTTACAAACTGACTGGTCAACAACACAACTCCTTTGGCACTGGAAGTATGCAATCAGGAAGCAGCAGAGATTAAAAAAAAAAAAAAAAAGCAAATACAGCACAGTGCTGTGTTAAACGTAAACTACTAAAAAAAAGGGAAAGCAGCATTTTTCTTCTGCATAGTAAAGTTTCAAAGCGGTATTAAGTCAATGGTCAGTTGTAAACTTTTGAAAGCACCACCATAATGTTTTGTTCAGATTTATGCACATTTCAGAGTAACAGTCTCCATTCCTGAGGTGTTTGTAACTCTGAGGTTCTACTGTATCTGTTTTCCTTATGTCTTACAGTTACCTATGGTAAATAGTACAACACCTATTGACTTCAGAGGGAGCAGGATAGACCTCAGACTATACACTTCAGGACAAGAACAATGACCTTTACTTCCTGGAGGTCTTCGTGCCTTGAACATTGTTGATAAGAACACTCTGGCTTGGCTTAACTGGATTGCATACGACAAATTAATAGGACAAGTATCAGAGGGGTAGCCGTGTTAGTCTGAAGGGTAGCCGTGTTAGTCTTGCATCTGAAGAAGTAAGGTTCTTACCCACGAAAGCTTATGCTGCCAATACTTCTGTTAGTCTTAAAGGTGCCACAGGACCCTCTGTTACTTTTTAATAGGACAAGAACATTTTTGAAACAAAAGTTTCCTTTTTGGTTTGAAAAAACTTTTTACTTTGAAACTTTAGTTAAATTAGTTTAGTTAAAGAAGGTTTTTGTTCCTGTTTTTTAATTGTTGAAATAAAAACAGAACATTTTGAAATTATTGAAACAAAACATTTTGATTGACCTGATCTGAATTTTTTTTCCAGATTATCCGTTTGTAAACAAGTTTGAGATTTTGACTTGTTGTCCCAATTTGGGATGGGAAAACATCTTGAAATCTCTAAAATTCTCATGGGACAGGAAACTATTTCCTGCCTAGCTCCAGTTGAAATAACTATTTACTTTTGAAAATCTTGGCATTAATAAATACTACTATTAATAACGACAGTTCAGCTCTACTTGAGGAACATGTATGCTCACTGTTAATAAATTAATGAGTTCTACTGATTTTATCCTTCAGAATTAATACAATTCTTGCAAAACTATAAAAAAAGATAAATTTGTTTGTCTACAAATTACCTGTCTGGAGATTTTTACTGCCTCATGATATCAACATCCTTATGGGTAAAATCTATGCAAAATGACCTTTACTATAAAGCACAAAATGCAGCTGCTAACTGCCAATGGGAAGAATGGATTCAAAAAGCCTAGAGCATAAATATGGATGTGATCATTTTCAATACAGCAAAATATCATTACATTTATGCAAGGTCCTATGAAACATTTGAACGTTTTCTTTTTAATTAGTTACATTTCCATTTAAATGGTTAGTTTTGATGACCCAACAGGGGATTTACTTTCAAGCATGTGCCTTCTTAATTTGCCTAATTCAGTATAAATATGTTGAAGGCAGGAGCTGATTCTGTGAAGCACAGCACTTTGCAAGGTAATGTCTTTTTAATTTTTTAAAACATGGCAAATTCCCAATATTTCTCAATTATTTAATTATTTTTCTATAAAGGACCAGCCTTCACCTGGTACTGCAAAAATATAATCATCATTGTTTCATTGCTTCAGATTAAAGTACAGTTCTGCTCTGCAAAACAACTCTACATGGCATTATGGGGATCCCTATTTGTATCAAAAATTCCATTGCAAATGTTCTCAGTTTACAAGTAACTAAGCTGCTGTTTTCTAACTGCCAGCCCTGCAGACTCACACTGGGATGATCAGTTCAAGAAGGTTCTTTTCTGGCTCATGCTTCATCACCAGCAATAAAGATTCCACAGGATAAATTGTGCCATCATTTGCATCTGTATGACCCTAATGCCTTAAAACAGTGCCTCTCAACCTTTCCAAACTCCTGTACCCCTTTCAGGAGTCTGATTTGTCTTGTGTACCCCCAAGTTTCACCTCACTTAAACTACTTGCTTACAAAATCAGACATAAAAATACAAAAGGGTCACAGCACACGATTACTGAAAAATTGCTTACTGTCTCATTTTAACCATATAATAATAAAATAAATTGACTGGAGTATACATTTTTTTTTTATATTTCAGTGTATAGTATATAGAGCAATATAAACAAGTCATTGTTGGTATTAAATTGTAGTCTGTACTGGCTCCACTAGTGCTTCTAATGTAGCCTGTTGTAAAACTAGGCAAATATCTAGATGAGCTGATGTATCCCTGGAAAGACCTCTGCGTAACATAGGGGTACATGGATCCCTGTTTGAGATCCACTGTCTTAAAATAATGCCCTGGTTTGCACAGGTGCAACCCTAGTGTCTTCATTGAGCTTGAAAAGCTGTAAGTGTGGGCAGAATCTGGCCCTGCAATTGAAATTGCATTGGCAATTTTATAGGTGATGCATGATTCAGAAGAGAATCCAGCTCATTCTCCCAGAGCTGCTCTGGCTAACAGGAGTAAAGAGCAGTAAAAAACAAATTATTTTTCATACAAAATGAACTGGGAAATTTTGTAACTGAAATGGAACTGCTTTCATCCTTTGTACAGAGCCTTGCACCATAACTTTATGGAAAAATGTCAAATTTGATCATCTGAGATGACAAATAGAAATACTAAATCAACAAGAGAGTATTATAATAATGTAAATCAAGAAACTCACCTTTCAGCTACTTTGGACATTTTTAAACAGTGTCTGTCTATCTGCACATTCAGAAAGGTTATCTGGGGAAAGAGATGACGGTTAAAAGAGATTAACAACCCAGCAGATCTAGAGCCTGGGGTGCTGGAGAGGCCAGAGTGGCAATGCCCCCGCTCCCCCTTTTTAACATGAGCATAGTCGGGTAGGTGCGGAGAGGTGGTGGCAGGGGCTGCGCTTCACAGCAGGGGAGCTCATAAGGTGATCAGCTCCCTGGTCACAAAGGGCAGCCCCTGCTAGCGATGTCAACCTCTTCCCGGTAGGGGGGGCTGAGGTGGGCCTTAGCCCTGCCTTGCCACAGGGCCCAGCCCCTTGCTCCTCCTGTTTCCCCCAGAAGTTGGAGCCGGGCCGTGGTAAGAGCCCTCCAGAGAGCCCAGGCCACTGTTCGGAGCCCCAGACCCACCACCTGCCCAGGGTGGCATGCCCCGGGGGGCTGTTCTCAGGCATCCTGGCCAGGGGGCAGGGCCTTGAGGGAAGAGGGGGAGCAGAGGGGATAGGGCCACAGTTGTGGCACCAGTGCCCCCTCCACTTCTACATAGGTTCTGGCGCCAGGGCCGGCTCCAGGCACCAGCCTGACAAGCAGGTGCTTGGGGCGGCCACTCCGGAGAGGGGCGGCACATCCAGCTATTCGGCGGCAATTCGGCGGACGGTCCCTCACTCCCGCTCGGAGCGAAGGACCTCCCGCCGAATTGCCACCGCAGATCGCGATTGTGATTTTTTTTTTTTTTGTGGCTGCTTGGGGCGGCCAAAACCCTGGAGCCGGCCCTGTCCAGCGCTCCTTTCTGATTGTGTCACAATGCAGTCTTGGCTTTGCATTTCAAGTGACACATCAGTTTGCAAGGAATAACCATGTGTTCTCTTCCGGGTGTCAGAGAACACAACAGTAAGACAGGTTTACTTGTGCTGGAACAGGGACATGTAAGTTGCCCCTCCCTGCCTGCATTCGTTGGGTTGGCTGTGTGCTGAAGGGATTCTGATCATAACTGCATTACCCCTTAATATTCAGCTCTTGCTACACATTGGTGGTACGGTGCCTGCCTTTCCTTGGGGGGGTTCTACTACAGAAAACAGCTTTTATTCCTACTGGAAGTTCCCTGGAAGCCCTGCCTGTGGAAGCAGTACAGAATGAACAGAACCTCCAGCTGCTTTGGATAATCCTCCTCCCTTATCAATACCGCCCACTTTTTGAGTATCCCTGGTGACCTGAAGGAGAGGCAAAACTATGGCCAGAGACAGTACAACACATACAATTCTTTATAAATTTGGTTTCGTTTTTTGCTGTGGGTTGCTTGCAAACCCATCCTGATTTTTGTTGAATGCATTCATTCTTTGAAAGTATTTGCCAAATATTCTGGAAAATAATTTTCAGACCGTGGGTTGTTCACAAACTGTTTGTGTTGCCTATTTGCTATTCATGGCATGTTGTTGGTCACCAAAGTCACATGGATATGCATGTGCTCCCTGATCAGATGACTGGAACATTTTTGAAAGGTATAATTACTTAAAATAAACCTGCACAGAAAAAAATGTAACATTTTATGGGAAATGCTGTCTGTGGGCATGTAAGGTGAGTGGAATTTTGGACTTGAGAGCCACTCTGTTAATTTGAAAAGAGAATATGGCATGTAGCATTCATCTCAATGTATCTGCATGTCCCTTTTCATATTTAGCTTTTAATACATTCTACTTTGTTCAAAGCATGCCAACATCACCTTACATTTCCATCATTTTGCACCAGGAAACATCAAGCATCTTTCTGGCTTTATTGATATTTCAATAAAAATATAAACATCTTTTTGAAAATAATGTACTCGGTTCTTGGAGGTGTTGTTCTAAGATGGTCTACTTACTTTTTTTCGGAAGTCCTCTTTTGTAGTTTTTCGTACGGGTTGGGAGGGCATATGTACAGGGCTTTGGGATTGAGAATCTTCTGTAACCCCATATACTGACTGAAACAAATAACACGAAAAATTACAGAGCTTTATTGTTACATATGTAAGGAAAATCTGTGCACGAAAACAGTCAAGTAAGGAGCCAGCAACTGTCTACTGTTACCTTTTCAAAGATCAATAACTCTTAAATCTGGAACAAAGTTAATAAATGAGGTTGTATATACAAATACCCGAGTGGTGAATAGCTGTAGCTGTGATAATTGAAAATTGTGATTTCTCTCTGACGAGCCCAACTGAGAACAAATGCAAATCTCGGCCTGATAATCAGAGGTACATGAGAGGGTTTGTCTTCTGATTCCCTACCTTCGTATGTTAGTTGCAAAAGTGAAACTTCTACATTTTATGAAACTAATATTTTTGATGAAGGCTTCATCTCTGCTAATATGCATCTTTTGACACTTACTTCAAAATTTCTCAATATCTGCTTGCTTATTATAAATTACCTAATTTTCAATCAAACCCTCTATTTCTTATGCTGAAGCACTTTATCTAGATATAAAATAACTGTTTTTTGCTCTACTCTACAAGTCTATTGCATTTCCACAATGAATGGAGACATTTATATTTGAGAAGTGATACTCTGGTTATTATGCATTTTTTAGGGTACACAGGCTTCAGGGAAACTGCCTTGTGCATGAAGTTATGCATGTGTGTTTATGTTTGTAGGGATCAGTAACTGAGATGGGGGACAGGAAAAGATAGGGGTGGAAATCCAATTCTAACTCAGTTGTCTCCTAAACATGATACTAAACAACTTTAAGAGAACTTAGGGAAATAACTTTTAATCCTGAGGCTTTGATACACTGAAAAAAGGGTTAATTTGGTGTCAATGAGCCAAGTTTTCCACAAACCTTAAAAAACAATAGCAACAACAAAACAGAAAAACACCATCAAATCACTGGTAGTGCATTTATTTGTCAGGTATTGAAGGCAATAGCAGGCATCTTTTTGTTCAATTAATTATTTTTTTTCTTTATTTGACATTTGTATGAAACATTGAAAGGTTATGATGTCATTTAATAGCCAGCATATTGACATGTTAGGGACCATCATGCTGATATCCAACGGTCCATTTATGTTGCCTATATTTGTTAAAATGGGAGCTCCGTGGTCACGAAATTAAAATGACGACTATCCCAGGCAAAAGAAAAAATAATCAGGTCTTAATTCGAAAAGAGTGCTGTCTAGTGGCTACAGCAGGGGTCTGGGAGTCAGAACTCCCTAGTGCTGTTCTCAACTCTGCCAAGACTTGGTCTGGTACCTGTCCATTTGTAAAATGAACATAATAAACTTGCTTACAAATGTGGAGGCTTAATTAATATTTGTAAATTACTTTGAAATTCTCATTTGAAAGATGCAATATACTGTTGGTGTAAAACATAGTTGTTATTGTTCTGAAAAAAAAAAAAAAAAAACCCCTGACCTTTTTGACCTTCTGTGGGTTTTTCATACGGCGACACTTTCTGATGTCCATTTCTGTTGTGTTCACGCAGCCTGGCTAAGAAAGGGACATTCATAATATTACCATTGATGTTAACAATGTACATACCACCTCCTCCCACTGGAAAGCAATAATAAAAAAAAGAGTTTTTATCCTTTGCTTGCAGCATAAATATTGTTAGAAAAATACATAATAGGATCTTTTTCAAGATGCTTTCTTTAAGGTGTGTACTATAAATCATATTAGTTAATCAGTAACTGCACATGTTAATTAAGTTGAATCTCAGCATCCAATTCATTTGCTCATAACTTCAGCATACAACTTCCTTTCAGGCTGAAATTACTTGGTCTCAGCTCGAAGCTGAGTTTTTCTAGAAAACTTGAACAAAACCGGTTTAACTGCTTTTGAATTCTACTTATGAAAAAAAAAGAACCTTTACACTTACACTTTATGTTCAAATCAAAAATGTTGTGCATGCACAAATCTAAAACTTTTGAAACAATTTTGTTCAAACTTGGCTTGTTCTGAAGATCTCCTAATGGACAATTGAAATGTGAAGAAAATCTGTTCAGCAGTTTTAAAGCTAACCTCTCCTTGCAGCGTATCCAACATCGCTAGGTTTGCTAAGTAGCATAATTTAAAAAGAGACTTACCACTGGCCTATGCACATCCCAAAATGCTCTTTCCTGGCTGTCCAAAATTTTCCTTTCAGTTTTATCCTTTTTTCTGTCAATTCTGGGAAAATAAAAAAATGAAACAATCCACGACTTCACTTTTCTGACTTCCTCCCAGTTTCCCCCTGGATTTGTGGACCCGATTGACAGCAATTCTAGTACTCCTATTCTAGTGACACATTTTTCCATACAGAAATGTCAGATTCCAGATGCCAAGTGATTTGCGGGGTCATTCCACCAGCCTGACGAAAGGGATTTTTTGTTTTTAGTGAGAGAACTTTTTCGTTAACATCTGCTCTGCACCTGGCAGCGAATAGCCTTTTTGACACCAGATTTCCCAGTCCCAGTCAAGCAGAGCACTTAAATTGGTGCTTAACTTTAAACATGTGAGGAGTCCCCCTGAAGTCTGTTTACTTAAAAGTTACGCATAAACTTAATGGCTATCCTGTATCAGGGTCCAACAAGTCAGATAAACACGACTTCACAAAATTGTTCCACATGGGACATACTAACAGAATTATTGCAAATTCCTCATGGTCAGATCCCCACATCATAAATACCAGTAGCACCATCAAAACTGGCACTTTTAAGGAATTTCAGAAGACAAGTCAGAGACTGAATGGGACAAGGAGAATGAACAATCCCCCTTAAGCATAATGTGGTCCCTTCAGAACATGTTTGAAGCATATTGATGGAGGAGTGTGGTGGAAGCCTACACTGGCACTACATATGCTGTACTTGTTTTGTTCCTATACAGAGGATGTCCGTTTCTAAAGCTCTCAATTCAGCATCTTTATTGACACTATTTTTAAATGAAAATTTAAAGTAGTAGTTGGGAGAAAACCCATCATTGTGGGGGTTATTAGTTATTTGTCTTTATCACCACCACCCCTTGTTGGAGAGGTTGCGATCAGTTGTTGATCCAGCTATAAATGGAATTATGACATCACCTCTTGGAACATAGCATCATAAGGCTGAGACAATGACCCAGATCCTTGGCTGCAGATGAGGAGCACAGAGTGCTACCTGGGAGGGCGGCATGCAAAGGCTGAATGCTCCTCCAGTTCTGGGTCACCTAGCATAAAGTTAGAGCAGCCTTCAGGTGGCTGTCAATGGGCCGAGGGCATGGCAGCTGAGGATAAGAGACTCAGGGTTTGTCTTCACTACTGGGGAGATCGATGCTGCTGCAATCGATGCAGCGGGTGTCAATTTAGCAGGTCTAATGAAGACCCACTAAATCGACAGCAGAGCACTCTCCAGTTGACTCCGGTACTCCAGCTCCCTGAGAAGAGTAAGGTAAGTCAATGGGAAAGCATCTCCCATCGATGCAGCACAGTAAAGACACCAGGGTAAGTCGACCTAAGCTACATCGACTCCAGCTACGTTATTCATGTAGCTGGAGTGGCGTAACTTAGGTCGACTTACCCCCATAGTGAAGACAAGCCCTCAGATTCAGCCCACTTTCTTCCAACCTAGCTCCTTATGCCAGACAAAGGTGTACGGGATTGAATAGGAGATGTTATGCCAGCTTTACAACACTCAAAGATTCCCATGCCCATAGTGGGTAATCCTCCTGTGGCTGGTTACACTGACTTTAGGGCTGCTTTGTTCTAGTAGTAAAACATAAAATGGTTGCAACACAATCCAGGATCTGGGCTTTTTTATATATACAATCTCCAAGAATGTGCCATTGATTACAATTTTTTAAAAATTAGAAATATTGAATTTTGAAAATACAATATAATTAATTGCATTAAGGCCATGATTTTCAAGCATTGCAACTAAATCCACTAAGCAGGTGGCCTGAATATTACTGCTCATTTAATGTTGCCCAGGGCTTTGGCATGTCCAGCCTACAGGTAAATACACCAATGGAATTCTATATGCAAGATGGGGGAGGGGAGTACAAAACTTGATATGAAAAGGAATGTTTCCAGATGCTTGTAGTTTTTCAATTTAAATCTTACTCTGCAGTACTGGAAACCTAAGCCCAAACAGCACTGGAGTAGTGTCTGAAAACCAAGAAATGAAGCCAACTAGCGACAGGAAGTGAGAGCAACCAGTTGAGTTTTACTGCTCCAAGTGAATGAAATGGAGAAAAAGTAAACAAACATCACTGATAGTGAAAAGAAAACAAGACTTAAAATCCTTCCAGTTGTAATGATCTATGCTACTAGTGACAGAAGTACATAATTAAACAAAATTATGATTTTTATCTTGGCAGTGAACCTTTAAGCATCTCAAAGACTAATTATTATTGTAACTTCCAATTTTCTCATCTCATCAGAATACTAGCATTCTGAACTGAAATAATCCCTTAATTACCATGTTATTTTAAGGATAATTACCATGTTCTTAAATGGTCCATAATTACAATGTAATTACAGTGTTAATCAACGAAGTACTACAAATATAGATACACACACTTCCATAGATACACATACATAATAAGAAGTAGCAATCACTTTTCATTTTGTAACATTTGTTTTGCTGTTTGATTCTGAAAGTGCAAATTCCCTCTGCTTTTTCAGTGTTTCCCAAGAATACAAATATCTGTATTCTGTATCACTAATATGTCACCTTCATCTTCCTTGTAGTTTTCACATGTGACAACTCCTTCTGCAACACGGACACGCAGACTTCTAAGCACCCTAATTTCACAAACACAGAACCATGTACATATTGTGGGAGTAGCAATGTCATGTTGCATATACTACTAAGAGATTGCACATTGTGATCATGGGTAAATAGAAGGTAAACTACAGATTCCCAGTTCTGGGTGGAATGACAGGAGAAAGAGGGTAAAAAAAAGTACTCGTAAAATATGAGTAAGCCTTATGGAAGTATTACATAATAGTCCACAATGATTTGGTAGCACAAGGAGGTCAGTTAGTATGGATACAATAGAACTGAGTTTTCTGGGATTTGATTTATTCAGTGGGAAAAATAATTGGGGATATTTATAAAACAAATGTACTGTGTGAAGCCCAACTGCACAGCTACTGCAGAAATGGCAGTACTTTTTATCTTCAAAGTACTTTACAAACATTAACTCATACACCTGCCTGGCAGGTATTATTCTTCCCACTTATACCGAGTGGGAAATTGAGGCACAAATAGTAAGAGACTTGAACAAGAGCAAGAAGCTCAGGAGTTCCTGGATTCCAGACCTGCACACAGATGATTAGACCCATCTTTATCCTGGCATTTTTTCCTCATGGTAAGTGATCTTGTGAATTAGCCCTATGCTGTTTCCAGTGTGACAGGGACTAGAATTTACCAATAAATCCCGAGTTTAATTTTGGCAAAGGCTTTAACTGGGAAACATTGTCTTAATCCAATCCCCTTCCCCCAACAAAGTTCTAAAGACTCCTCCAGTTCACTGAACTGGGAATACTTACTTCACTTGGGCCTCTGCTTGCATAAAGATGAATTCCCACTTCCTTGCAAAAGCCCTCTGCAGTCTTGCTAAGTTTTCCTGATAAGAGAAACAAATAAAGAGAACAATTAATCACACTAATTACAATTGCAGTTTAAGAACTAAATTATTGCATCAGTTTATTTAACCTGGAAAGCTCAAAACACTGAAATTAATATTGGTAAATTGTCTCAGTAGGCAAAGTATGATATGAATGTGAATGCAATGGTGTGTGTGTCCCTTTCAAGCCACCACATAGCAGAAACAGGAAGGACCAAAGCAAGAGTTGTAACAGGGTGTGAAACAGACTGAGCTCTACTAATAAAACAGTGTTGGACTTGTTTCCATGTATTCCTCAGTGTACTTTCTACTGTGAAAGTTTTTGGAACTGACAACTTCCCATTCTGACAGCAGCTGACTGCTACCTGCATGCTTTGCTTTTGTGGGGTGGCTGGGTGGGGAAGGAGGAAGGGTATTTTCCGGCCTTACTTGTTTCATAAAGGATGACCATCCCTCAGTTGTTCAGTGGATTATTAACCCTGAAGGCATTCCACAGTGCAGCATACTGAAGTCTGGGTATTGTCAGGGCAATTCATGAAAGGAAACTGATTATTTGTCAGGACAATGGAAACAACTAGAGATGGGCCCAAGCTGCTTAAGTCTGGATCCAGATCCAAACTTTTTCTAAGTCTGAGGTTCAGTTTAGGTTTCTGCTCCATGACCATTACAGTGAGAGGCCTGAGCCACAAAGTTTGGAGCTGGATCTGAACTTGATCAGAATGTAAGGTGGGGTTTGGGACATGGCTCGAATTCCAAGTTTAAGCCCATTTCTAAAATTAACTTCATAACACTGACAGGTATTCTGAAGTCAAATTTACACACACGCACACAGAGGTATGGAGACATAGAACACTATTAGCCTGATCCTCCTCTTCTCTTCTCACTTACTCTGGGTTAAAATGTTTTAACTTTTTACCGGTTGGTAAGATATTATTGGTTCTACCACTATAGCCCATTATTGCTATAGCTCCAATTCAGGAAAACACTTAAACACATACATGTTGGTTCATAAATTCACAGACTCCAAGGCCAGAAGGGACCATTAGATAATCTAGACGGACTTCCTGTATAACAGGCCATAGAATTTACCCATTTACCCCAGAAGTCCATACATACATAAGTCTAAGTTCATACACATTCAGGAGACCATTTGAGCATGTGCTTAAGTCGCATTGAATTCTATGTGACTTAATCATATGCCTTAAATTAAGTACATGCTTAAGTGTGGTCCTGAATCGGGATGCTCTCCTGAATTATGGGTTCAGAAAATCAGCAGTAGCTGGTAAAGAGGCAAAAGAAAACTTAACTACGCCTGAATACTAGAGACCTGGGTTGAAATCTCAGCTTTGCCAACTGGGAACAGGGACTTGAACTCAGGTCTTCCACCTCCCAAGAGACTGCCTTAACCATATGGCTATAAGGTTCTCTGGGATGGGCCTTTTTCAATCTCTCCTGGTGAATTTTTTCCATGTTTTATAAAATACATACATAGACACTGGAGCAGGGACTGGAGCGTGGGTCTCCCAGGACATTGTGTTACCTGCTAGGCTAGAGAGTTATGCTCACTCTCTCTCTGGCCCAATGGGAGATTTAGATTAGTGTTAGAGCAGAATTTAACTCAGTATACTGTGGCTAGAAAATAGTCTACTGTTATTTCCTACTGTACATGGAAATGCAGTCCATATGTGGATTCAGCAGCAGCATGACTCCAGTCAGTCACTGAAGGCCATATTTGTCCTCAGTGTATTTATATACTATCCTATTGTCATCAACAAGACTTGTGTGCAAGGATCCAATGGAGCATTCATCGTCCCTTGTGTGCAAAAGCAATCAATAGAGAGTTCTTTCTTTATCTCTAGTCAGTACAGGGCACATCTGTGGCATGATGGGGACAGGCTATGCTATGAATTAGATATATTAAACAGGTCACTGCTAGGTCACATTTGCTCCCAAATTTAGATTTTATAACGAGGTTGGAAGGGGAGATTAGTTTTGTTTGTTTGTTTGTTTTAAAACAAAACCTAAGACCAATACAAATGTTTTCATAAAATTAAAAAACATTTCTAATAGAAACAATTTTTCAAACAAACATTCCACTGAAGTATTTGAATCTCAACCACTACTCTGTTGAGCTAGTTAAGCAGAACCTGAAAATTAGATTGACTAGAGCCCAATTATAAACAAAAGTGCAGTTGGCTAGAATGCTTTCATTGCCTACATTCAGAGTAATGCAAAAAGCGAATGACTTGTAACATAGGTAAAGGGCATTTTCACATGTCTGCTTTTTAGCCTGACAATGCCTCTTTACTAAACATAGCTAATGCCTGTATATAGAATTTGGAAAATTTAGCTCAAATTAATTTTTTTGTAAATCGTTCCTTTGAGAGTCTACAAATATGAGATATGCATCAGCAGCAATGTAATTGTCCAAGAATGCTAACCTTGTAATATATCTGAACATTTATCACCCCACTGGCTCCTGTAAAGACAAAAGCTAACCAGAAAAGTAGCCCCAGTGTAAGCTCTTGTGCAACATGCCCCAGATCTCTGAAGGAGTATGCTGTGGATACTTAAAGGTGAGACACTGAAATATGTATCATGGACATCCTCGTTTAGGAGTTTGACGTTCTCTCAAGAATTAACCAATAGAATCTTTTGAAAATAAATAAAATAAAATAATAAAATAATAGTGATAATAAAATAGAGAGCTCCCTGCTAAAGGTGAATTCAAATCACTAAGAAGAAAGATTCAGTTTTCGAACAAAGCATTGCTCCCGCTCCATGAACTGTAACATCAGTATACCTACGGCTTCATAATCCGCCAGCTCCAGCCTAGCTTTGTTCTGCATGGTCCGCTTGCAAAGATAGATGGCTAAGGGGAGAGTCATAATGAAAACAATTCAGAAAAAGGCAGTTACTACAGGATGGAAAAAAAAAAACAACCAAAACCATTGTTGTGCATGTATTGTTCATTCACATAGTTAAACCTGACCTTAGGAATGATAGCGCTAGATAGCTAGCTAGCGTTGCCTGTGCACGGTAGGCGTCTCAAGTCTCACGGGAGGATATAACCTTTAAAGATCTGGAGACATCTCAATTAATAAGCATGAAAAAAGCCATTTTATTTAGACACAGCTCTGCTTGCATCTTATGGGCTATATTATGGCTTTATCAACAAAGCCCTGAGTATGGGGAGGTGCCCAAGGAGGAGTCGAGTCTCAGAAAGGCATAATTGCTACTGGGGCTGGTGAAAGATGCTCTCATCAGTGCATTGGCCATGCTCCACAGCTGGTGTGGAAGGGGTCAGAGCCATCACCCTGTTGCCTCCTCACCCCCTTTTTGAGCATCCTTCTCCCAGCTAGAGCACAGAGAGTGAGAGGACTGTTCTTGCGAGTGGCCATGTATATCTTCTGCATTTCCTTCCCTTGTTTATTGAAAAAGTATTCAGATTATTGATACGAAAATAGCAATTTGAGCCAAATCCTGAGAGGAGCTGAGTGCCTCTTTGGATTTGATTAATTGCTTTCAAGATTCATCAGCTCCATCTGCTTATTCCCGTTTAAAATAACTGTTTTGTCCAATACCACAACCAATTACCGCAGCAATTGCTGTGAGTGTATATACTGGGGGTTGATATGTGCCCTGTGTATTCTGTACCATCCTTCATTCTGAGGCAGTTAGCATCAGGACTTTGCAATTGGCCCCTCACCTCAATTATGGACTGAAACCAGAACACAGAATCCCACCTTACACAGGAGCTGGGTCAAATTCAGATTAAGATCCAAATTACATAATATGGACCCATGTCTCCAATCGTTGGGGTCTTTGAAATCTGAACCTGGATCTGAATGTGGTAAAAGTCCCTATCTTATACCCTCTCCTAATCCCTTTCCTGGCTGGATACAATCTGACCCACAGTCTATAGAAGTAGAGCCGCTCAGAAAATAGGGTTTTGTCTGAGGGAAATTACTTTTTTCATCAACATTTTCAATAGAAAATGTCAACTTTTCATTGAAAAACATGGATTTTTGATTTTCTGAAACAATGAAAATGTTGAAACAGACACTTTCCACAAAAAACTTAATTTATTTAAAAACCCAATTTTCTGTTAAAATTGACAGAATATTTTCAACTACCCCTACTGAGGAGATTCAGATATTGCATTAGAGGCACAGTGACCAGACCGGATTAATTCAAGTATTGTTATTCTTGGTATTCATATATTTCAACAGTAGTTTCATATGGAAGCCATTTATAGGGTCAAAATAAATCCAGATCTAGTCATCTCAGGGTATTTCCACATTCCAGGGACTGAACTATCATCAGAAGGCCAGTTTCAGCTTCATAAATGTCTTTGAGGCATCAAAAATGCAGGTAAAAAAATGTATAGACAGCTACTGAGACTTCAGTTTTATTTGGCTTTAGCTGAAAACTGCCAGTTTGGGCTTTATTCAGGATTCTGAAGAATCCACATGGACATCCCTAACTGATATACAAATGCTGATATTGGATATGTGAAAATGAGCCCGAAGGGGCTCAAAGCTAATGCATGTGCAGCATGTTTTCAGCCTTGGGGCAGGTCATAGAAAGCCTTTCTTTGAGGGGCACTATTACATACAATGCATTGCATCTACATCCAATTTTTTACTTAATGCTACAGAAAAAAATCTTCTGTTTCCAGATTGTTACTATGATACGTACAGAAAGTATTTTCAGTGTAACTGCGCACATACATTATATACAATGGTTACCATTAAAATATTTAGAAATGCCTTTGTAAATAATTAACATTACTGTGACTCTTACCATGGCTTTTCATAGATGTTCCCTACACTTAGGCAAACATGGAAAGATGTTAATAATTATCACTGTATGTGAGGATTGCAAATGAGCGCTACACATGGTTATGGGCTTCCTGTTTACTCTACCAAATATTATTTCCAAAATCCACAATGATGAATGATTGTTGTCTGGGAGGTGGGGGGGAGGGGGAATTATTTTTTTTTCTTATAAATTGGTCTTAGTTACTGAGAGATCTTTTAAAGAAACATTTCCAGAAGCCCTTGTTTTATGAGCACACAGATGCATTCACTTCCTCTGTCAATGCCACAGTGGGATGGAATAACTGATTTTATCATGTAGATATGAGAACAGTGTAGTTCTACAAGAGAGAGCAATAATGCACAGAGACAGCTAAAGAGGACAACACTGCTGTATTTTCTTTATGCATTATTCCTGTCCTCAGCCACTCAGATGTTTACTATAGGGTACTGTGGTTTATTAGCTCATAAACCATTGTTATTCTTCTGTCACCAGTTATCATCTGGTAATTTAAACGTATTTTCCCTTTTCATGTTTTTTAATGCCATGTATCAGAAAAGCTTAATTTTTGTTTGACACTGCTAATGGTATGTTATTGTTGGTTAGATAACTGTTTATTGAGCAGCCAGTTCAGTGCCCAAACAGGATTAATGCTTATTGACTAACAGTTCAAATTCAGCTACAGATCAGAGAGTATTCCACCACAGAAGCAATCTTTATGCTACTAGACCCTACTAATTCTTACAAGGGAGATACTTATACCTTCACATTGACTATAATCTTACACCCTAAGTAGTCCTGTTAAAATCAATAGGACTATTTGAGAAGAAAGGTGCTACTCAATGGGTGAAATCCTGGCCCCATTGAAGTTAATGGCAAACCCCCATTGCCTTCAATGGAGCTGGGATTTCACCTAATGTAAGGATGGCATGTGATATGGCCCTTAGCTGGAGTTGAAGAGGAAACTCCGAGCATGAAATGTTGTAAACCACCAATAAATAATTTCTACAGGGCAACAGTGTTACTTCTGACACTTTCAACAGGAATTTTCAAAAACTAGAATATTTTATTCTCACCATAGTCTGTATTTTCTGGTTCCCAGCAGTTTGAAGGCCAAAAGTATGGGGCCTGAAAAACAGCACATCATATTTTAACAATTACATTTAAGCTTAAAACAACAACAAACCTTAATGCAACTGAAAATTATAAATATTATGATGCCCTTGACAGCCTAAATTCCAAACCCTGTTCTTATGGAGTCAATGAAAATACTGCAATTGACTTCAGTGGACACAGGACTGGGCCATCAGTAGGGTATCGACAAACTTTCTCTGCATTCAGTGCCTAGGGATAGATGAAGAGACCAATACACAGATTCAGGGTTCCTAATATTCAGATTATCTTTAGACACCCCCACCCCTACATTTGAGTATCGGCTTGTTCGCCCATCCCCCGGCAACCTTCCTCACTCCAAAAGAACCTGCTTTTACCTTGAGCCATCTTTAAGGAGTGTGAGAACATTCCTGTGGCCTTTTTACACATTGTACATATCATTGGGTTTTGAGCACTGTTAATGTGCTTGGCACTGTACAAAACAGAGGAAGATACAGTCTCCTGCCCCAATTTACATTCTAAATTAATCGGACAATACAATTCAGATTAAGAATGGGAAAATCAGTTTTGCCTAATTTCAAAACCCAATCTAACATTGTAGTTTTGAAAGCAGGACCCAAACTAACATCACTGGTTTTCCATTCTGCTCAGGAGAGAACACTGTAACCACCCAGCTTAAACTTTCTGCTACAATTAATTACAACAATATTAACTACATGGTAGTTACATTGCAGTTTTAATGTGCATGAAAGAGTAACTTCTCTGTAGCTACGTGAGTTACAGTGCACTATTATTATAAGTGCCAAAAGTGGGCATAGCACTTTGTATGCATGAAGACAACTTATCTTTGTGCCAAGGAGCAGTGAAAGGAACTGTTAATGAGCACATGGAGGGGTCAAAAAATATTTAGTCCAACTCCTACTGTGACATTATCTGATTAAAATATGACCATGCAAATCATTGTTGCTACCACTGTTACATAATTGCAACGAATCTTATACAAAGTATGATGCATGGTCAGAAAGGGTTAAATCCTGCAGAATAAATGACCCAGATCCAACCTTTAGAGACACGTTAGAAAAGTATGTGAATGGTAATGAGGGTCATTCCATGGTAGATACACTAGAACTTTAAAATGCAAACGTGTATTGTGAGAAATTAGAAGTGATACTCATTGTATGTCTGTACTCATATCTTGTTAGAGGTCAATAATGTAGTCAAACAGTCCCTGTCTATGCCGTATTCTGTTAATTCAGAGATCAAAAGGACATCTTAACATTTAAATGAACTGTAAACATAGTAATATCACTGTATTCATCTCTCTTTGAAATGTATAGCAAATCACCTGCAAATAGTGGAAGAACAGGCAATTGCCTTATGTTAATCCATGTAGCTAATTACCAGTGATGCTTAGGAAATAGGTCTACTTCAAAGTCTCCATGATTGCCTATTGTTCGCCTAAGGACTCTGAGCTGTCAAAAGAAGGCCTAGAACTGTATAAAAATGTCTTGGGTCCTGATCCTTTTAATCTCAGATCTGCTTGATGCTTCATGCAGGGGAAACTTAAGTCCTAAGACTGAGATCTCCAGTCCTATCTGGATCACCCTGAATATGAACATTGGACTATAACCTATGGACTAATTCTGAAAGAACTATTTGCAATTACAAAGCTCACCATCTCTACTATGAATCTGATCTCAGAACTATACTCATGTCTGTATCTATACTGATCTTTTAATACTTTGTCTCTCTTTTCTTTTTTAATAAATTTTAGTTTAGTTAATAAGGATTGTCTGTAAGCATGTATTTGGGTAAGATCTGAAATATTCATTAATCTGGGAGGTAATGTGTCCGATCCTTTGGGATTGGTAGAACTTTCTTATATGATGAATAAGATTTTCAGTAATCCTCATCATAGTTGACTTGGGTGTCTGGGTGAAGGCCTGAGGCTGGGTTGATTTAAGGGAACTGTGTTGTTGGCTTCTGGGTAACCAGTAAGATATTATAGAAGCTGATTTGTGCTGGCTTGGTAAATCTAAGTATTGGAATATCCACCAGGTTTGGGGATTGTCTGCCCCATTCTTTGCAGTTTTTCCTAATTGAATAACCTCAGTGTGGCTCCTCTGGCCCTCCGGTCACACCTACCCTAACACATTCCATGCGAAGACAAGAGGCTGATATATTCAGATTAGTGGAATAGGAAGGTGATTCTAGCAGAATATTTTTGTGTAGAATGACTGAGGCAAAATATGTGGCAGGGCATTGAGAGATGACCAATGGGTAGACAAGGTTCTAGAGCAGTGTTCTCCAAACTTTTTACACATATGATCACTTTTTGAATTTAAGTGTAACCCAGGATCTAACCCTTCCCTTCCCTGGGGCCCCGCTCCTTCTCCAAGACCCTGCCCCACTCACTCCATCCCCCCTCCCTCCGTTGCTCACTCTCATAGAATCATAGAATATCAGGGTTGGAAGGGACCTCAGGAGGTCATCTAGTCCAACCACCTGCTCAAAGCAGGACCAATCCCCAACTAAATCATCCCAGCCAGGGCTTTGTCAAGCCTGATCTTAAAAACTTCTAAGGAAGGGGATTCCACCACCTTCCTAGGTAACCCATTCCAGTGCTTCACCACCCTCCTAGTGAAAAAGTTTTTCCTAATATCCACTCACTCTCACTCACTTTCACCGGGCTGGGGCAGTGGGTTGGGGTGCGGAAGGGGATGCGGGCTCTGGGCTGGGGCCGAGGGGTTTGGAGTGTGGGAGGGGGCTCTGGGCTGAGCCTGGGGTTGGGGTTTGGGGTTCAGGAGTGGGTGATGGGTGCAAACTGTGGGAGGGAGTTTGGGTGCAGCGGGGGGCTCCGGGCTGGGTCAGAATGTTGGGGTGCAGGAGAGGATACAGGGTTCTGGCTCTGGGAGGGGGCTCAGGGCTGGGGGTTCAGGGTGCAGGAAGGGTTTCAGGGTGCTGGCTCTGGGAGGGGACTCAGGGCCATGGGTTGGGGTGTGGGAGAGGTGCGAGCTCCCACCAGGCAGCACTTATCTCGGGCAGATCCCAGTCGGTGGCGCAGCAGGACCAAGGCAGGCACCCTGCCTGCCCCGGCCCCAAGCCACTCCTGGAAGTGGCCAACATGACCCTGCGGCCCCTGGGGTGTGGGCACGTGGCTCCGTGTGCTGCCCCTCTCCACAGTTCCCCATTCCCGGCCAATGGGAGCTGTGGGGACTGTGCTTGCAGGCAGGGGCAGCGTAGAGACCCCTGCACCCCCACGCCAGGTTTTCAGGGTCGTGCTGGCTGCTTCCAGGAGCGGTGCATGGCCAGAGCAGGCAGGGAGCCTGCCTTAGCCCTGCTGCGTCGCCGGACATTTTAGCAGCCGGAGATCGCGATCAACAGGCAGAGGCTCCAGGATAGACCAGTCGGTCGCGATCTTCCAGTTGGTGACCACTGTTCTAGAGCAAAAGACACTGAAGGAAAAAACAACATTATCTGGTGACAGTGCATATGTGGGATGAAAATGGGGAAAGGGAGTTAAACATGACCCTGATGTTGGAGCCTGGCTGACAGGGTGGAGGATAGGAGTTTTTGACAGCTGGCGATGATATCCTGCTAATTATCCTTTCTTGATATGTCTTTTAATGAGGCCCAGTGGGAAAGCACAACTGTACAGGTGAGTTAATGACTATTTGGTAATTAATCTACACTTCTGCTTCTTAAGTGAAAACAACATGCAGCAGTCGGGCAGCGGGAGCTAGTGGCAGCAGCAGCAGAGGCAGAGATGAAAGCCTTTTCAATAAAAGCTAAACTAAGGGCAACACAGAAAGAAGGGAGGAGTTAGATGATGGAGAAGGCAGCAGTAAACAGAAGAGAGAGGACAGGAAGACCAGTGGCCTAGTGGAAAGAGCCCTGGAACCTACTCCCAGCTCTGATGCGGGCTGCTGGTTAACCTGGGGCAGGTCACTTCACCTCCCTTAGCCTCAGCTTCCCTTCCGTAAAATGGGGATAATGATAAAATTTTTGCAAAGTGCTTTGAACTCTATGGATGAAAAGCACTATAGAAAAGCCAGGTATTCAGGTATTATTAGCGTTACTATGGACCATATGATAGGTGGAAACAAATTCAGTTTGAAACTTTACACCACGAACTCCACCTTTGAACTTCCCTGGTCATTTTCAATAATAGACAATCTGTTATAGAAAAGGAGCTTCTGGAGCCCAATCAGTGAATTAACAGGCAAGTCTTGGATCAGCAGATTTCAGGAAGGATGTGTAAAATAACTAGGTCCTGCAGTTAAACACGACACAGCTGGGAACAGAGTCAACATGGGGAAACTGAGGCATGGAGAATTTAAATGATTTTTGCCAAGGTCACAGAGACTTTGTGGCAGAGCCAGAAATGGAACCCTGATCTCCTGACTTCCAAACCTATGCCTTAACTGAAAGATGATCCAACTAACCTAATATAAAACTGAGCATGGAACTGGATGCAGATTTCTAGCACTTCAGTGTTTGCATGTGTTCGGATCTGGGTGTTGGTCCAGCCCATTACACATAGAAAACTAGCTACCAAATTCAGGCCCAGGTTCAGATTCTGAAAATGACTTACCTCAAGATTTGGGGTTTTGATTCAGAGGCATCAGATAAACATACTTTGGGACAATATAACAAATGTTCTTAAAGGGACTTCACTGGTACTTCATGGCTGTGCCCAAATGACCTCAATAAGTATAGGGATCTTTGCATTGTATGAACTTCAACAGCACTCAGTGTACAGGTAAACATTTCAGTGATAATAGAAGCAACAATGTAGGAAGCAGAGGGCTCACCTACCTGAAAACGATAGAAGGTCCCATCATCTTTCAGGGTAAGAACATGGTCTGAGATTGGAAAGATATAGCCCTGTGCTGCTATAAGACTTCCCATGTGTATTGCTTCCACTGTGAGAGGGAAAGAAAGAAAACAGTAGAAATCTGTCAGACAGATGTACACTAGTGCAGCGTTTCTCAAACTGGGGTCTTCACGGGTAGTCCAGGGGGTTGGTGGGCCTTGCTGATCAACTCCTCCCCCTCCCTCCCAGTGCCTCCTGCACGCCAGGTAACAGCTGTTCCCCGGTGTGCCGGAGGCACTGGGTGAGAGGGACAGGAGGGGAGATGGGGGTAGGAGAGGGAGGGGGCAGAAAGAGGCAGGGAAGAGGAGGGGTAGGGGTGGAGCGGGGGCAGGAAGAGGTGGGGTAGGGGTTGGGCCTTGGGGGAAGGGGTGGAGTGGGGGTGGGGCTTGGGGCTGAGCAGGGGTCTTGGGGGTCTGCAGCAAAATTTAAAATCAAAATGGGGGTCCTCAGGTTACTAACGTTTCAGAACCGCTGCAATAGGGAATCCATTGCTTTCAGCAGATCTCATGGTGGCTCAGAGTCAGACTTGGTGTACCCTTCAGTTCTCCAACCAAATTATACAAAAGTGAAAACCAACCTTATAGTATTGGTCGACTCTACTGAAAATGTTAACCTGATGATTTTAATGTCCCCACTGATGCTTACAGGGTGTCAAACTGCTCTACATTGTGAAATTCAATTCAAAGCACACTGTACATTACCATTAACAAGAAATCCATTCCAACAGCGAATACCATCGTTTCTCTAAATTATACAAACAGCTGGAATGATATACTGCTAACAGCATCTTTATTAATATGGCAAAAAAATTTTTAAAAGGGAGCAAAGGGCTTTACTCAGAGAGAAATGCACTAAGGCAGAGGGATGCTGTTCTGCAACTTTTGGCAGCACAGGTGGCAACTTCAGTTCCCTCTCATGCAAGCTGCACATCAGGGGATAGCTCCCCAGCTGATGTAAACTGTCAACGTTCCGTTGACTTCAGAGTTATGCAAGTTTACACAAGTTGAGGATCTGCCCATAGGTGTACAGTCAGGGCCCCAGTCTTCGAGCAAAACAGGCCTTTTCACCTAGGTAAATGTTTAACAAATGGCTTGAAAGTATTATATAGGATTCTGGCATTAGCGGGACAAGGTTCTACAATTCACTGATATGCTGAGGGACAGTAAATATGATTCATATCCCTTTCTTTCCCACTTCTCTCCTGATGACTACAACCTCATTGCTTTATCAGCCCTAGACTCAGTGACAGACGGGTACCTAGTATCTAATCCCCTCCCCCCCACACACACTCACTCTACTGGTAGGTTGTTCAGTTTCAACAGTCATATTACCTGGGTCCTCGATGCTGAGGTTCTTCATGAGCCACTGCACAATGTCAGTACCTGCAAAGACAGAAATGCGCTACACATGTAAGACCACAGATGTTTGGAAGCTGTGGAGAGACACCATGTTTAAACAAGAAGAAAAGATACAGAAATTCAGGTCAATGCATTTCCTTTCCTATTCCCACTGTAGGCTTGAAGACTCTTTACCTGTGTGATACTATTGCACATTTATTTATTTAGAGTTATAAACCCGCACTGGTGCCTCATATGACAGGCATCTTGATATAGTTTAAATTACACAGCATGTGACTGCCACAGAATCTACTCTCTGCACAAGGAGTTAGGCTTGTGAAAGCCCCTATATCTCAAAGAAAGAAAAGACCTCATTGCTCATTACTAACGGTAGTGAGGTGGTGTGGGTCCCTGATGACCCAGAGAGAGACAAGCCCCTCTGGACACCAGAGTGGGTGGAGCCAGGGAGCTCTGAGTCCACCTCCCAGAGGGTCAGGCGTGGCACAGGAAGTATAAATCAATCATAGAATATCAGGGTTGGAAGGGACCTCAGGAGGTCATCTAGTCCAACCCCCTGCTCAAAGCAGGACCAATTCCCAACTAAATCATCCCAGCCAAGGCTTTGTCAAGCCTGACCTTAAAAACCTCTAAGGAAGGAGATTCCACCACCTCCCTAGGTAACCCATTCCAGTGCTTCACCACCCTCCCAGTGAAAAAGTTTTTCCTAATATCCAACCTAAACCTTCCCCACTGCAACTTGAGACCATTACTCCTTGTTCTGTCATCTGGTGCCCCTGAGAAGAGTCTAGATCCATCCTCTTTAGAACCCCCTTTCAGGTAGTTGAAAGCAGCTATCAAATCCCCCATCATTCTTCTCTTCTGCAGACTGAACAATCCCAGTTCCCTCAGCCTCTCCTCATAAGTCATATGTTCCAGTCCCCTAATCATTTTTGTTGCCCTCTGCTGGACTCTTTCCAATTTTTCCACATCCTTCTTGTAGTGTGGGGCCCAAAACTGAACACAGTACTCCAGATGAGGCCTCACCAATGTCGAATAGAGGGGAATGATCACGTCCCTCTATCTGCTGGCAATGCCCCTACTTATACAGCCCAAAATGTCATTAGCCTTCTTGGCAACAAGGGCACACTGTTGACTCATATCCAGCTTCTCATCCACTGTAACCCCTACGTCCTTTTCTGCAGAACTGCTGCCTAGCCATTCGGTCCCTAGTCTGTAGCAGTGCATGGGATTCTTCCATCCTAAGTGTAGGACACTGCACTTGTCCTTGTTGAACCTCATCAGGTTTCTTTTGGCCCAATCCTCTAATTCATCTAGGTCCCTCTGTATTCTATCCCTACCCTCCAGCGTATCTACCACTCTTCCCAGTTTAGTGTCATCTGCAAACTTGCTGAGAGTGCAGTCCACGCCATCCTCCAGATCATTAATGAAGATACTGAACAAAACCGGCCCCAGGACCAACCCTTGGGGCACTCCGCTTGATACGAGCTGCCAACTAGACATGGAGCCATTGATCACTACCCGTTGAGCCCGATGATCTAGCCAGCTTTCTATCCACATTATAGTCCATTCATCCAGCCCATACTTCTTTAACTTGCCGGCAAGAATACTGTGGGAGACCGTATCAAAAGCTTTGCTAAAGTCAAGGAATAACACACCCACTGCTTTCCCCTCATCCACAGACCCAGTTATCTCCTCATAGAAGGCAATTAGGTTAGTCAGGCATGATTTGCCCTTGGGGAATCCATGCTGACTGTTCCTGATCACTTTCCTCTCCTCTAAGTGCTTCAGAATTGATTCCTTGAGGACCTGCTCCATGATTTTTCCAGGGACTGAGGTGAGGCTGACTGGCCTGTAGTTCCCCGGATCCTCCTTCTTCCCCTTTTTAAAGATGGGCACTACATTAGCCTTTTTCCAGTCATCCAGGACCTCCCCCAATCGCCATGGGGTTTCAAAGATAATGGTCAATCACATCCGCCAACTCCTTTAGCACCCTCAGATGCAGCGCATCTGGCCTCATAGATTTGTGCTCATCCAGCTTTTCTAAATAGTCCCAAACCACTTCTTTCTCCACAGAGGTCTGGTCACCTTCTCCCCATGCTGTGCTGCCCAGTGCAGCAGTCTGGGAGCTGACCTTGTTCGTGAAGACAGAGGCAAAAAAGGCACTGAGTACATTAGCTTTTTCCGCATCCTCTGTCACTAGGTTGCCTCCCTAATTCAGTAAGGGGCCCATACTTCCCTTGACTTTCTTCTTGTTGCTAACATACTTGAAGAAACCTTCTTGTATAAAGGCCCGGCCCCAGAGCTCACTGAGGGAGCAGCGCCTGGGAGACCAGATGCCTCTGGCCTACCTCCCGGTTGGGAAGCCCCAGCAACCTGCGGTGGACCTAAGGGCTGGCCAGGCCTGCCCCAGGCCAGCTACCTGGAGGAGTTGCCGAGCCTGCCCCAGGCCAGCTACCCGGAGGAGTTGCCGAGCCTGCCCAGCGCCAGCAATCCCGAGGAACCCATGGTGCTGGACCCCGCTGAGGACACTGCCCCGACCCAGGTACCTCAAGAGGGGGAGTCCGGAAGTAGCCCAGGAACAGCCGACACTAGTCTGGCTGTGACATTGCCAGAACCCATGTCAGTGTGTTGCGGCCAGGATCCCCACTGACACAGCAGCGGGTCTTCTTCTGCTGCTGCTAGGGTCCCAGGCTGGCAGTGGAGTGGGAGGGCCTGCGTCCCCCATCACCCAACTTGTGGGTGGCAGTCTCCCCCTCTCCCAGGCCTTCGGACCCAGGGCTTGGGCTCACTGTTGATAAACTGTTGTTGCTTAGCCCCTGCCTGAGGGCCTAAGCACCTGACTCACCATTGCCCCACCCTGACCTAGGGCCTGGGCTGACGACTAACTGTATTGTTTCTGCCCTCACAAAGGCCGCGGAGGAAGACTCCTGTAGCTGGACTAATTCCCTGCTAGACCTCTTCCCGAACTTAGTGAGGCGGTGGGGGTCCCCGCCACCCCAGATTGAGACCAGCCCCGGCTAACCTCTCTACACTAACACTTTCACCCATAACCGTTAGAGGTGATTCCTAGGCTAGAGCAGTAGAACAGAGCAGCTAGTCAAAGACCAGGGGGTGGGGAAATGAGCCTAGTTCACATCAGTCACATAAGTAATGTCTTGGGGAAAGAAGTGAGACAATGTGTGTGGGGGGTGAGGAGCTCTCTTTGAATGTGTTTGCTAGTGATATCATTGGAGGTTTGTGGAGGCTAGGGAGGAGAGATTGGGTCTGGGCTTTTCAGCTCTAGTCAGGTACAACAAATGCAGTTCTCTTGTAAGAGGTGTAAGACCTTTAGAATTGATTCCCTACGTGCACATGGCCACTCTGCTGCCTGCATGAAACACATGGGAGTAGAAAATGTGTCACTGTTCATAAGCAGATGCTATTATCAGTAAAATGTAACACAATGGGATACAAAATTTTGCCACCTTGTTTAAACCATGTACTGAGCTAACCATGATGTAGGCTATGTCTCGAGTAGGCATCCAATCCCCTAGCCAGCTTTGTAAAACACAGCCAATGAGAGTTGTCCAAAGTCACACAGCAAATCAATGGCAATTTAGCAAGTCCATACTGGAGCCAAAGAGGGGAAATCCCATCTTCCAATACAATGCACTGATTTCACATCACTCTGGATATTGACACAACAGCAAGACTTCTTCAATGCATATTCAGTTTAACTAGAAAGATTTACACCCATGCACAATTTTTCAGTACTCACAATAATATATGGCATTATATGGTGCTTTATGAGCTCAGAGTGTTATACCCACAACAACTAGTTACCATGGGGTTCAGACTGCCTAAACCAAACCAGAGGAATTATCCCTTGCATGGAGCACATCTTGTGAGTTCAGATTAAGGATCACAGAAATGATTCACAACATTCTAATATGCCGGAACAATGAAAGAGAAGGACAGGGAGATTAGTCAGTACTTTGCAGATTGAAGGGCAAACTCAGGGTTGATGTACGAAAGTGCCAGTCTGACTTGGATGGCACTGCACCCACTTACACCAGACTCGGCCAAAACAAGTGTGAAAAGACAAAGAGAGCTGGAATATGTGAGAAAGGGTTTAAAAACAGAATTATGTTGATGAAGTGATATTAAACTAGGTTGGAGATTTCTGTACAGAAGTTGAGATTTTAAAGAGAGATTAGTATGAGCTACAAAGATTGGCTCTGCTTTTAAACTTCCACAAAGTTCAGAGGTGTTTAGATATAAGGTTCGGTTCAGGCCCATCCCTAATTTAAAATTCTAGATGGAGGGGAAATAATAATTTGTTCCTGCTGTATATTACTCCATAGTCCATTCACTCAGTTCCTACGTCAGCAGCCAATATGGGGGTATAGATGGGCTGGCGGGGGGATGCTGACCCCCAGCTCCGCCCCTTCTATCCGAGGCCCGACCCCCGTACCGGTAAGCGCTTAATGTTACTTTCACCCCTGGCTGCCGGACTCATTTTCCCTCTGACTCCATTTTGCCTTGATTAGACATGTTATGTTGTCACTGCTAAAAACAGTATGTTCAGCTTGATGCATTTTTTAATTATGGAAAAAAAGTTAAAAATCATGACACAAATGAACCCCCCCAATACATAATCCATATTGTATTGATCAGCACATAAGGAGCAGCATGTGGAAGCAAGCACAGATCCCAGAGTTTGTTTTGTCTGCAAAAAAGAGTGATGATCCCATGAAAAATTTCCGAAAAGGTATCATTTTGAAACTCTTATTCTTTTTTCTCAACCCAATTTTCATTGATCCACCCTGAAAAATTCAAATAGTGTGGAAAGTTTACTTGCTGTTTTATTTTTTTGTTTTTTTTATTGTGATTCTTACAAATTACAGGTTTACAGCTCCTATTTCAACCTTACGGACGGAACTGTGAGCAGCCACGCAAGAATAGATTGCCATTTTGTCAGCCCTCTGATACTACACAGTGTAAGTAGGAACTGAAAGCATAACCCAAAAATAAATCCAAAACCA